TATCCTGAAGGTATGCTGTCAGAGGGTCATGAAAAAACCAAGGGGACCCGACAACATCCCAGAATATATGAAAACACCACCATCTAGGACGCAGTCATTTGTAATTTATTTATTATTATTTATTTATTTATTTATTTACGCTCTTTCACATACAGTAGGTGGTCGGGATGAGAATACGCTGGGGAAGCAAGAAAAAAAAAAAAAAACATCTGGGATCATATGAGATAGTCACTGTCACCACTCAGTTCTGATTGCTGCTTCCTCTCATAAACATCTCTCGAGTTGTGTTTTAGACAATAACCAAAATGTTAAACAACAAGCAATTAAAATAAAAATAAAAAAAACATGAGGTGACTGAGGCCTGCAGAGCTTTAGATCTTGTCTTTGGTTTGTTTGTGACCTTCTTCGGACTACTCTTCGAATAAGGCTAGCAGCTCTGGGGAGGTTCAACACTGTTCCATGTTTTGTGAATGATAGCTCTCACTGTGGTTTGCAGGAGCCTAAAAAAAACTTTATAAATGACTGTGACACCTTTCCAGGGTAACAGATGTCAACCTGTTCCTTAATTTCTTAACTCTGTTTTTTATTTGAGATATTTTAGCCTACTTCACTTTGTCAGAGAGATTCTGTATATGTTACTTCTTCATTCATCAGATCTGAGAATAATAAAATATCTACTTTTTTGACTGTAAATGTCAAAATATACCTGAAGGAAACATAATGATTGGATGTTGTATGTTTTTTTTTTTTTTTTCTCAACAAGCCAAAAATAATTAAAAAAAAGCTAAATTAGATTAAATTAGCTACACCATCCCACACACGTCTTTTGTTTTTGATCTCTTATGATGGCGGAATTGGGAACACATTGAAATTATACTGTCATGGCAATCCGAGAATATTTCTATTAGATTTAAACAAATCCACCACATGTCTAATAAAATATTCTGGGTCTTGTTTTCAACACTATGGTGGAAAAGCCTCAAGCATTTGTTGGAAACTGTCTGGCACCCATTAATTAGTTTTAATTACGGACGTCAGTGATGTTATCTTGCGCTTCACCATCTGGCTGCCCAGAGGCAAACCTAAAGCTGCTAAACCTAAACAAAATCTTAACTGTAAACCTTTAATTAGTGACCCTGATTACACCATCCCACACATGTCCATTGTTTTTGATCTCTTATGAGGAACAATATAACTTGTACTCAGGTTGGATCATTCTGCATTTTTCTTTCTTTTTTAGCTTTACCATCCAGGGCCTCTGCTCTTTGGCTCCAAGCCATCTTCACTTGCCAAAGCATGCAGTTTCCATGGCGTCCCGACGGGTTACACAGTAAACACCTAAAAAAGTAAATGAATGAACTCGCTTTAATCCGATAGGCAACCCTTTCTCAACTTCTCAACCTGTCACATCCTGTTTCACAACCGAACACCTTGTTCTCAGCTTTGAGCAAGGTGAATGGGATCCTAACAGATCAGCGTGTTCAAGATTTACAGATTGAGAGTGGCATGATGGGAATGTAATCACAAAATGCACAATGCTCCCTATGTTTGTAGGCATTCATGGGGAAGATTTGTAAAACAACTTAAAATAAATTGCTTTATTGCAGTCATACTGAAGATTATCCAAGCTCTAATTAGAGTAGATTGGTTTATATTGCAAAATGATTATAATATATTGCTACAATGATAATTGAATGTAAAGGCCTCACTTACATACTGGCAACCCTGTAGTTGATACTTTGCCAATAGGACACAATTACCAATATGTTTGGATTATTATTCTGCTAAAAGAGCCAAAGATTATATTTTTTATTTTAGTTTTTCAGTCAGAAGATATGTATTTAAAAGGTCCTGGTATTTCAAAGAGTCAGTTATGCCAAGCTCTTGAGGCCTTTAGGGGGAAAAAAAGAAGCTAAAAGCACACCGATCTTCTCCCAGTTGATGGTTCTTGAGTGAATGGGTCCCTTTACAAACTCTTGATATAGAAAATTGATTGCCTCCTAATTTAACATTTAATCGATAGCTGCAAATTCAATAAAAGTCTGCATGATAAGTTATAGCACACTGGCATGTTTTTGGACCATGCTCATGTTGTCCACAACACAGTAAAGTACCTAATCCTCATTAAAGCTGCAGAATGTAACTTTTACAAAAATATGTTTTTCCAACATTTATTAAAAGTGTCATCATGTCATTGGCATGAGACAGGTAATTTGTGAAAAAAAAAAAAAAGAGCTCTTCAACTTCCTGCCAATGCTACTATTGCTGCCTGCAAAAATACTCCGCTCCCAGAAACAACCAAATGGAACCAGGAGGAGCCAATCATTCTCCTGTATGCGCTGCTTAATGTGCTAATGGTGGAGAAACAACTTACCTTTTCAGGAAAACATTATCAATTATCACCGTGACCATGCTAATTAGCCTTAGGATTGGTGACAGGCTATGTTGTGGTGAACCAGCTGTAGCTTAACAAAGAGCAAGCAGGAGTGGGCGAGCATGAGAGTGATTGACAGCACTAAGACCCTCCTCCTGACTTTGATTGGTTGTTTCTTTGGTAAAAATAGGATTGTTTTATTACTGAATAATAGCGAAAATGTTACTACAACATTGTGGTACAGCAAAAGAGGTACGGATTTATTTTGAAGCGTTTTATGAATTTTAACCAGAGGTGTTATTACGTGTAGAGGGTTTTGAATTGGAAGACTGTTGGAGAAGACTGCTTTCTTTTTCAGTAGTCAGCTGCTCTCTCTCTCTTCCACTTCCATTCAAGTTTTTGTTGGATGATGTGGGTGCCACTTCTGGAAGATCTGAGTCATTCGCATGGTTGAATGAAGGCGATCAGAAGCTTGATTAAACTGGCTGAAGAAGCTCATATTTCCCGCATGACTCTGAAAGACAAAGAATATAACAGTTTGCCAAATAAAAACAAACAAACAAAGAAAAACAAATTAAAAAACCCCCGAATTGAGTTACTTTCTGTTTTTGAAAAGTTTGCCACATCAGCAGGAATGACTGAAGAATGTGCTCAGGATATGCGGATAGGTTTTTCAGATTGATGATTCATGATAGTCCATGAGTTTTGCCGCACAACAAGCACCACTAACTTCTGTACTTGTTTCACTACATTTTAGCAATGATTAAAAAAGCAAACTTCTCTCCTTTTCACTGTTCTTCTTGGCTGTCATATCAAGTTAAAGTCTTACTTTCTCAGCTTACTTGTTCATGGGTGGACTGAGGCTGTGATTTATTCTGTAACCTAGTACCAAAGAGGATACAAAGTAAAATCTATTTTTTTTAAATTAAATAGTTATTTATTCATGACAAAATTGAAAATGCAAATAAAACAAGAAATGACTATGTTTTTGCAAATTATTGTAAAAATCTCAACGGTTCATTTAAAATACAATATAACTGAATGTTAAATTCAGTAGTTAAAGTTTAAAGTCATATGTGACGATTTAAAAAATATATATTTTTAAAATAAAATCTTGAATTATTCTGTTCTGTTCAGTTGTACTGTTGTGAAATACTGTCACTGTGACGCTTCGAAGGACATCTGACTAGTTAACTTCCACAGTAAGTCACCTTCAGAGCTCCATACACTGAGGGCTGAATCTGACAAGTGACAAAAAACTGCAGCATTTGACCATGAATTAATTATTAAATATATTTATTAATTGTTAATGTGTTGGCTAAATCAAGACAAGTTTATTGAGTTACATATTTGATGTAGATTTTATGTATTTCTTCCTTGTTGTTTTAAAGAAATTATTATTATTATTATTATTATTATTATTATTATTATTATTATTATTATTATTATTATTATTATTATTATTATTATTATTTATTGGCTAAGAATCAATATACTGACAAAGATTTCTTTTTCATTTACATATGTATTATGTTCTTATATATTGTATGCAATGCTATGTATGTAGTATTTTTTATCGAAATGTGACACCGCAGAAATAGAATAGCTGTTTTTTAAATTCCACGATGAAACGCCGCCACCTTGTGGTTGTTTTTGCTTCTATCAAATATGATCTGTTTCAAAGAGGTAGAAACCCGACAGTCATTTTTTTTACGTCTGCATTTCCCCAAATGTCTGTATTAACACGTCTGTTAGCCTTCAACAACTCATATTCTTTTAATTTCACATCATAACACAAATAATGTGACTATTGTAGCCCATGTCCTGGGTTCTTGAAAATTTCTTTCAAATTCTTTGTTATAATTGTTTGCTTAAAGACTTAAGAGTGCCTGTTGTTTGTGGACCTTATTTAAATACCTTCTCTACCCTTCCACTTAAATTTCCATTTATATGCAGCACTCTAATCTCCCAAATTCTTTTCCAATGGTGTTTGCACCTTACACTGAAGGGTGCCATTGATGCTCTGCTGGACCAGTCAACTGTTTATACGATTGTGTAGGCTATAAAATAGGATTCTTGTTTTAGAAATATGTTCTTTGTTCCTATTTTGTTGTATTCCAATTTTATGATGAACTAAAAAAAAAAATGTATTTTCATTTATTTTTAGCTGCGGTTCTCTTTGATGTCACTATTTCAGGAGTGGATCAGTACATCGAATGTCATGTCCTGGAAAGGGTTAAGGTTCTACTTCAGCTGCAGTCCACAACTTGCGAATTTCCTCCAATATCTTGAATTGGCTTTGTGTCAAAAACCTCTCAAAACTTCAGGTATCCTTGTTGATCTTTCAGCCACTTTTTTCCCCTTCCACTTAATTTTCCATTAACGCAGGACATTGTGAACTGTCAGCTTCTTTTTAAATGACATTTTGCCCTTTGTCATCATTCCACATAGATGATGAATAAAAAGTCTTCCAAGCACAGAGAAGTCAGAAATGATCAAATTAGCTCGGAGTCTGACTCGATTTACACAAATTTCATACAGTGACGGTGTTGGATAAAAAGGACTTGTCGATGATATTGTGATTTCCGATTGAGCTGCAGCTGTACAGAGCGTCCTGAAGGGTTTTCTCTCATGCAGTCTGCAGCCTATAGGGCAGCTCTTGTGATGCTGCGCTGTGTGCGGAATCAAAGCGCAGGCGTCGAGTCGGGAGGGAGCCTATCTTGCGCAGACTGGGTAGCTTTACTGTACATGGCCATTGATACCGCTGTGGATGGATGTAGCCGCTGTTGTAAATCAGAATGGCGAGGACAGCAAATATAACGCGCTGAGTTATCTCTGTTTGACACCCGAGCACGTTTCTTCAACCATCATCGGGTCTTTTATTTTGATTTTTGAATTAAAAGACGCTTCTTGAATTCAGCCGAATCTCGCCTTGACAGCCCGCACCGATGGTTTTCATTTGACACAAAGCAGACAGGCGGCTTCTCCTAATAAACAGTCGGGAAGAAAAGCGGGTCATTATGACCTTAGTATCCGTCAGTAAAAGAAAACCACCGGATTGCTTTTACGCGGCAGCGCTCTGCTTGCATCTCTTGCTTTGGATTTCACGATCCGTGTCCGGAGAGGAGCAGCATCAGTTCAGCGTTGAGGTAAGATTTTTTTTTTTTCCTCTCTTTGCACGGCCTTCCCTCCTCCTCTCCTCCACATCATCTGCCTCTGCGTGGAAAAACAACATATATGCAGGCTGGATCAGCGCGCTGTGGCTCTGTAGGATCATGATGGAGACATTATGAGCTGCAAATAAAAATATTTTTGCTCCTTGGATCCTTCATTTATAGTGAACCAGCTCAAATGAGGATGTTACATTGCGGTGCTTGAACTAGATATAATGCTTGTTTTCCCATTGAAGGTGTTTTCATGGCAGGTCATCATGAGGTGAGGCTGGGAGATGTTTTGACAGCATCATATAGTGTTAAAGAAGATTAAACATTTACAAGTTGAATAATAGGATTTGCTAGTTCGTACCTGATTAATTGATGTCATTTCCATCCTCACCACAGGCTGCACCCCCCCCCCAGCTCCCTCCTCCTTCCACTCTGGAGAAATTAAACGCTGAAACTGACAGTAACACACACGCATCATTATTCAATTTAATGCCTCGCTTCAGTCCGTCCATGGATCTGTCTAAAAATCACTGTCTATAGACAAAACACAAGCCACAGAGACAAGACGAGGATGAACAAGAGGTTTAGATGAGCAGAGAAGGAAAAATTGGGGAGCAATGGGGAGGGATGGACAGAGGAAGCAGATCAGCTCCAGATGAAGTGGACACACCTGGACCTGATGTCTTTAGGTCTGAGTCTGGTGATGTTTTTTGTATGCATTAACCCCCAGTCTGGTTTCGTAGAGGATGAAAAGAGGACTGGGCCGCAGTCTTTCACATGCACACACACCAACCGGAAGCTGCAAAGACACAAACACTTGACTGCTCTCACCGTCAGTGCTTCCTCAGCTTCTGGTGAATACATTTAAATCTAAAGCCCTGCCGAGTGGACCGTTTCTAACGATGCACATTTTCAATTCTGCTGACCAGCTCCTATAAGCATTCCAGGCTCACTGTAGAGGCTTGACCATAAAAGAGTAAGATGATAAATAACAGTCGGTGCAGGGCATTGGGTGGTATGAGATTCTCACTGCATAATAATCCTGAATAAAAATATTTGTACAAAAATGTCAAATGAGAACATCTAACAGCCCCCCCCCCCCCAAAAAAAAAGAGCAACAATCATTCCTTTTGCTGTTCAAAAACACAAAGTGCCATCAGAAAGTATTCACTCCCCATCGGTTTTTGCACTTTTTTTCTTACTCCATAGTCTTATTCTAAAACCAGTTTGAGTGAATTTCAAATTATTTTAAATACAGTTTATATTTATACCATTAATTCAAGACAACTGTCATCTGAAGACCCTTTTACAAGACAAACACTTGTAAAAGGGTGCACTCAGTTTACATTCAGAAGTGTTTTATGAAAACATACCAATCATATAAACAGGTTATAATTCTTACATTCCGATTCAATCCCAGTTACAATACAATGCAGTTAAAATTTAGTTTACATTGTATGATAGTCCATACAGTGTAAACTGTGTTTTCAGAGATTGATTTGTAACTTTATATTAAAAAATGCAATTAACCAAGGCGGATATGCTGACTTTGGTATATAGGGCTTAAGCTCAAGTGCCCCTGATTTCCATTGACATGCTTCTGTAACCTGATCCAATATGCTTAGTTGACTGAACTTGAATTGGAATGGAAACCAGTGGACTACATAAAGTCAGTGGAAACCAAGCAATGAAGTTTCAAGGGAATTTTTTTTCTAGGCCTCCAAGTTCAGAGCGTTCTGAAAATAACAATGTTGTCTATTATTTACAAAATATTACAAAACCTCCAGAACCCTCTCTAGATTAAACTGAGTTATTATGGAACAAGACCCTTTGCCACAGGGTACAAAGAACTCAAAAGTCGCTAAAGTGAAGATTCAGTCTTTCTTTGTGGAAATAGAAGAACCATCTAGAAGTTCAATTACTGCTAACACGCTCCATTTATCAGGTTTTGTGGTAGAGTGACCTGGCGGAAGCCAACACTCACTAAACGGCTCATGACAGCTTATTTAAGTTCTGCCTAAAAGCACCTTAGAGACTGTCAAACCATGGCAAAAATAAATAAATAAATAAATAAATAGTGTCACTGAACTGTATAAACAAGCTGATTTCACCTGGTTGGGCTACCTGCTTGGGGGCTGCATGGTGGAGTGGTTGTTAGTGCTATTGCCTTGCAACAAGAAGGTCCTGGGTTTCATTCCAGGCCTGCAGTCTCTCTGCATGGAGTTTGCATGTCACACCAATGCATGCATGGACTCTCTCTGAGTACTGCAGCATCCAAGGTTCACAATATGCATGTTATTTTGATTGGTCTTATTAAATTATCCTTAGAAGTGTGTGCATGATTGTTTGTTTCCATGGTATCCTGGCAACCTGTGCAGGTTGAACTCTGCCTCTTGCTTTGTGATAGCTGGAAGTAGGTGCCCTCCCCCTTGCAACTCCATACAGATAAGCAGGTACTGACAATGGGAGAGAATCAGCTTGGGAACTCAGTCAACATTTACACGTGGTACTCACATGGGCTGGACATGGGCAGGAAACTGGGCCACGTAAGGGATTGTTCATGGGTTACATAATGTCCCCCATGTAAATTGCCTGTATACATTTGATGCAAGAGAAGTCTTTAAAAAAGATGGAGACTGATTATGTTACTTAATAGTTTTTCTCTAAAATCCATTTAAGACCCTCATAAAACTTGCACAAATCTTCTTACTGATATGAGTTTTATTTGGTGAACCAAAGTGGGTTCTAAGAAGCTCATTGCGATTTCAACCTTGTACGCACTAAGAAAACAAAAGTATGTATGGGGTTCATGCATTTGGATGGACATATGGGCTGAACTGGCTAATTTTAGAGTGTTTTTCTGGGTTAAATAATGAGGACTCCCCAATCTGAAACACATATAAAAATCAACCCATCGACCTTTGGAGGAAGGTGGTCACTGCTTCAAGACACCCATCTTCATACTTCATATATAGTGTTTTGATCTCCACCTTGGTAGAAATCTGTCTTCATTAATGTTTGTCTGTTAGCAGGTTTTTGCCAATTCTGTCAACATGGATTTAATCAGCTGAAGGGAAGCTGAAGTGCAGACAAAGGATGTACCCATTATATTTTGGAGCAGATCCAGATCACTTACACTTGTAAGACTTTGTCATTGAACATCTCTCGCTCCCTCTCTAAGTGCTCTACTAATCTTCCAAGAGACTGGAAGAGGAGAGTGGAACTTAAAGAATATAAGTTTACTTTGATTTTTTTTTCAAAGTAAAGCTGAATTTTTCTGAAAAGTTAACATTGGATATATACCGTTACTTAACTAGTAGCCAGGCAATATGATAAAGCACAACAAAAAAGGCAACTTTTGCATCAGGACGTTGTTTCCAAAACTCCTTATCACCAACATAACACTGGAAGAGACTTATGATCCAGATTAGTGCTTAACTTTGCAAGAATTCACTTGCCGGTAAAAGAAAGACCACCATAAATCCAAATATTAAACTAATCTGTCTGAAAATAGTGTCTTTATTTCTTGAAGGGAATTATAGCAAAATCTGCTTTTTAAATAGGGTTAGTAATCGTTTTCTAAAGTGAAACCTAAGTCCTCTGTTGGCGGTTTGTGACCCAAGTTTGGGAAACGGTTGTCTTGTTTCAGCTGATACTGCAGCCTCTCCACTTTGTTGCCGAAACCAGATGCAGTGTTTTGTGGCTTAAATCATTAAAGTCAACCCTGCAAAATCAGAAATAATACCTTTTGTTATGCAAATCTGTCCTAAAACTGCAAGGTAAGAAGACCCACTTCATTGTATCATACCCATATAGGCTACCATGGGACATCATTAAAAAAAAACACCCTTTGGGAACAACCTTTCAGGGCATTAGAATGGACTTTTATTTACTTAAAGTTATTTCAACAAAGTTATTTTTTTCTCATTTGACTGCAGTGGTAGTTGAAGCTTTAAGCAAAGCAACATTGCAGTGGAGGAATGTTTGTGGTCTGTATTTATGCAGCATAGACAACATGAATAGAGTGTTTGAAATAAGCATTCCTCTAACAAACATTTCTTTCACTTTTATATTTAAAGTAGCTTTTTATTGTAGCTTTGTATTTTTAATTTCATATCTGATTAAACCTATGTAAATTGCAATGTTCTTTGATGGGATTATGTTTTTATTTTTTTTTTTTTTATTTTTTATCTTACCCCTTGCAGGGATGGCTACAGAGGTATGGATACCTTCCCCACACAGAACCAGGAATGTCTGTCCTGCGCTCAGCCAAAACCATGCAGTCAGCCATTGCTGCTATGCAGCGCATCTACGGTCTCAATGTCACAGGGACGCTGGATGAGACAACCAAGGAGTAAGTGGACACATGACATGTGTTGCAGATGCACAAACACAACCCGTGCAACACAAACACCTTAATAAGACACATGATGCCGCTTGAGAATTCTGAAAATTTGAGTCTGAAAAGCCTGTTTTTTTTTTTAGAAATACCAGTAGGAACTATGATTACCTTAATGAGCTGCTCAAGGACAGATACAGATTTTTTTTTTTCACCTCCCACCCCCTCCTCTTCACCTTCACCTGAAACAACACCAGGTGAAGGTTTTAACACTTTTCCCTCTTCTCGTTTTGCATGATCATGCAGTGATATCACTCTAAGGTGAGAACTAATGTTTTTGCCATTCTATTGTGTTTGTTCAGTAGTTGTGATAAATTATGTTGTACGAATGAGAACTGTAGTCTTAGAAGTAGTTTAGCAGTGTTTTTGCATCCATTTTTTTCTTCTTTGGCCGTTGTGGTTCAGTGCCCGAGAAGAGAACTGACGAGTTCACTTCTGCGGTTTGTGTCATTATATAGAGTGCGAACTGTGATGGAAAAAATGCTGAATGGAACATTGACTTTTTTTTTTTTTCCCCTTACTTTTTAGATGGATGCAGAGGCCACGCTGTGGAGTTCCAGATAAAATTAAAAGTGCCACAAGGTCAAGAAGGAGGAGATACGCGCTGACAGGGCAGAAGTGGCAGCGTACGCACATAACCTACAGGTGAGAGACAGAAACATCAGCTGTGACGGCCTGCAAGTTTCTTCAGATTTATTACTTTCCCCATATCGCATTTTATTTTAATAGTGTTTCAATCTAGCATAATTTTTTTTGTTTGTTTATTTTGTAATTTTATTTTTATTAACTTGTGTATTTAAGAAATATGTTTCTTATTTTATTTTTAATACATTTTGAAAATTTTGGTCGTTCTTTTCATTTTATTTACTTTTACACCATTTTTTCATATATATTTTGGCTGCTTCTAACCACCTGGGGTTGTATGCTGCCATGTTGTCATAGAGACTGAACAAATATGTTGCTTGTGCGGGGGGTATTCGCACATGCACATACCAACAGATTAACACCTAAATTGTGTGTTGCGTGTGTGCTGCTCATTGTATAAATAGCATGTAGCACAGTTAAAAACGAATTAGGATGTGTTTTGAACCATTACACAATTTCTTTCCCGTTCATTAAGCTAAACAAACTGCCCTCACCCTGATATATGAAACTGGGAGAATAAACTATCCACAATCTCAGCAGAAATTGTGAAACTCATCTTATCTGCTATAATTAAGCTTTGGGTTTTAATGGGCCTGAGGAGGACTGATAAACGGGTCTGCAGCACAACCGCAAATTGACAGGTTACAGCAGTAATAGATGATAACACTGCCAATTTATTTAAATCCTTCCTTGCTTGCTCACTGAATTTGAATTGATGAGCCACCTCGTCTAATGGAATGTCAATCAGTGCTGAGCCGGTGCTGCCGCCGCCGCTGCCCGAGCTTTATTCACGAAAATGAGTGGATAGAGAGAGAGAGAGGAGGGAGAAGATGATTTCCCCCTTCCTCTCTGCCTGCCAGGGACTGATAACGACTGCTGTGTTAAAAGTTCAGTGAAAGCTGTTGGTCTTTAAATAGTTGTGTCAAGTGTTACTTTTTTACCCAGTGTCGCTTCATTCTAAAAACTGGAAATATTCACTCCAAATTAATGAGCTAAAAACTCAAGGGGGAGAAGTGTGGAGGATCTTACTTCCATATTTTGCCAGCCTCCACCCCTCTGAAGCCTCTCAAGCAGCTTCTTGTTTATCTTCCTGCAGCATAAAAAATATCACACCAAAGGTGGGTGCCCGGGAGACTCATGATGCCATCCGGAGGGCGTTTGATGTGTGGCAGGGTGTGACTCCCCTGCGCTTCGAGGCCGTTCCATACAGTGCCCTGGAGACTGGCAGGCGTGACGTGGACATCACCATCATCTTCGCTTCTGGCTTTCACGGTGACAGCTCACCCTTCGATGGGGAGGGCGGATTCCTCGCCCATGCCTATTTCCCAGGGCCTGGCATAGGAGGGGACACACACTTTGATTCAGATGAGCCCTGGACCCTCGGAAACCCCAACCATGACGGTGAGAAGGGAATGTAAACGAAAATTATTATTTTGTTTGTAAATTATTAAAGTGACTTACAAACAAAAATCTGAAAACTGCGGTATATGTTCCCAGCACCCTTTACTCTGATACACCTAAATAAAACCCAGTGCAATCAATGCCCTTCAGAAGTCAACAAATTGTTAAATGTTAATTTAATCAAAACAAATGTTGCATCATGGGCATGATTGCGTCACGGATCACTATTCAGTGCATCATCTAAAAATCGAATGAATAATCTGCAAAATGCTATGTTGCACAAAACTAACTGTATTATTAAAGCACCATCTCTATGGTGGAACAAAGGTGATGGGATGTGTCCCTGCAGCAAGGAAGCTAGATGGAGCTGTATATAGAAAAATCCTTAAGGAAATTTATTTGAAGCTTTAAAAGAACCCCAACGTGTTCCTGGGTTAGAATGGCTAAGTCAAAGTAATGGTCCAAATTTAATTGAGAATCTAATATCAATCCTTTTATTGATATCAAATTTGTTTGAATTAGTGCATAAAGAAGAAGGTGGAAAAATATCGATCTGTGAAAAGCCGATATAGACATAGACCAAAGGACTTGCAGGTGGTTATTTAATTGATTTGACTCGGGGAGGGCTGAATACTAATGCATGCCACACTTTTCAGATTTTGCTTGTAAAAATATGTTGAAAGTGTCACTGATATAAAAGCACAATAAACTATAAGAAGGTTTGTGGTCACAACTTGTCTAAATTAGAAAAGAAAGAAATGCATCAATGCTAGAAATAATAGAGAAGGAGAGAAGAGACAACGGCAGAGAGACAGACGACAAAGACGATGGAGAAATAAATAACCCTGAGAGGAAGAGGTGAGGAAAGCAAACAGTAAAAAGTGCAGTCTTGTGGAGAGATGGATAAGAAGTGATGGATGCCAGATCAGGGAAGTACAGATGGCCTGGCTGGAGGGTGTTATGAGAACGACGGTATCGCAGGGCAGAGTGTGAGGGACGCTCAGCCAAAAACAAAGAACGCTAAGATGTGTTTGATGCGGCGCCGCTCTATAAAGATGCATCCCCCCATCTGTCAGGACTTTGGTTTCTGTCTGTATAATAAGCTCTTCAGATGACAGGATAGAGAGCGCTGCTATTTTAGGACTTTTGCTTTTGCTGGCACATGATTATGGTTATCCACATTTGTTGAATTTGATGTAGCTGAGCGGTTGCAGTGGCACGGCTCAGAGAGGAGAATAGGATACCTTTTTGAGGCATTCAACCAAACACTCCCTAATTACTCTACCTACGGGGTAGAAGGCTTGTGAAAGCACCACCAGGCAGTTTCGCTATTATCCAACTGCTGGGCACAAACTTTCTCCCCTTCCATTAGAGAGGGAGGAGGGCTGTGGCTTGCATTGTGTTTGTGCAGGAATACCACTTGCCACCCATCAGCTCCTTTCCTTTGCTCCCTCTTTTTGTTCTCTAATGATAATAGTCTTAGACTCCCAAGTCAGATGCATGCTCGCCCCTGAGCAGCATGCCATTGTCATCCATTTGGAGCTCTGACGCTAAAGGAGGGGAAAAAAAAAAAAAAAAAGCTCCTGTCTCAGCATGTGTGCCAAGGAAGCTGCACCATCTTTAATGGGTTTTCACAGCAGTGGATCTGTAAATGCTGCATGTTGACATGTGTGCTAATGGTAGCTCCAGTCTGTCTGCAAGGAATCCTTGTGGGGCGTTTTCGCATATCGGTGGCAGTGGTTGGTTGGATGAGGTGAAAGTGGGAGAGGGGAAAGTGTAACCTTTTTGCTGCTGGCTGAGGGTCAGTGGTGGTTTGATGCCGCGCTCCTGGCATGAGTGCATATCATCCTCGCAAAGGGCAACCGTCTCTTCGGGACAGGTTCAGTCACTGTTTGTACATAAGAGTTGTAATTCCTCCTAAATCAGACTGACACTCTGAGCTGACTGCATCCACTGGTTGTGACATTTTTACTTTTGCATCTGTCTTCGTGTGTGTGTGTGTGTGTTTCGGCAACACACAGCGGCTCTTGGCCGACATTTTTTAATGCTCAGGCGCATTACGTACATGTCCTTGGCAAAAAACATGAATGTGTGTCCTTCTGCTTTTTCGAGCTGAGGAGAAAGTCTTGCTGCTTCATGATTCACGTCCAGTAATCTTAACTCATAATGTTTTGCACAATTTTTTTTACAACTGTGGAGCAGGGAAAGCGAGTAATTATTTTCATTTTGTGGCTTATGTATTTTAATTATTTGTGTGAAAAACCATAAAAATACAACAAAATTAAATGCTTAAAATATGAAGTGTGCAGGATTGCTAAAACGCTCAGCTTAAACAAGCAGGTAAAAACTACAACATTTTCGAAATGCGTGGGGAAAAAAATTAAAAGCCTTGATAACAAATATTGATTGAGTCATGCATTTGCATTAAAATGGTTGATTTGCTGTCTGTCGCTAAATGCTTAGTTCCCAAATGGACACACTCTTCACAGCATATGTGCAAAAATAATATGAATCAATATGTGTTAAAAATTAGACATAGAAGTAACCAGCTCTAAATAAAAATAATACAAAGTATAAAAATAAATCCAAATGCAAACGCAGTGTCTCATTGCCTGGAGCTGAGAGATATAATGCCTTATAAAAGTATTCATGTCCCTGGAGCTTTTCCTGAATACATGACCTTACAGCAGCAAACTTCGGTGCATTTTATGAGGGCTATTTTTGATGCACCATTGCAAATGATCATATAAATGTGGAATTGGAAAGAAAGTGAACCACTGTTTTAAAATATTTTAACATATATAATCAGAAAAATGTAAATTGTACTTTCTTCCACCCCCTCTATACTGATACCCCTAAATAATATTCAGTTAAACCCTTTTCCTTTGTCCATCATACCGATATTTAAGACCTGGCCATTTATCTAGGCTTAAAAGGATGAAGAAGAAGTGCAATAATTAGAGAAGAAGTCAAGATACACGGTAGCTTACATGTTAGAACGTAAACACACGGGACACGGACACTGGTCAGAGTTGATGAGAAAAATCATGGAGATGAATAAAGTACAATCCTGAAATAAAAAAAAAAAAGTTAAAAAACTTTTGGACACATTCTAGGAACATATGGGGGGTAAAGAAAACAACATGTGCAATCAGGAAATGGTTTTGGAGACAAGAACCAACTTTTTGAATGTTGACAATGGTTTTTATCAAATTTTTTTAGCCTAATCATTATTTACGGATATTGTGTCATTTTTTTTCTCTCTCTCTCTTAGAGGGAATGCCATGTCTTTTACATTTGGTATGTTATGAAATCTACTTAGACAGCCTCTTGCTATATGTTTCAATTATTCGATGTGGGTAAATACACAAGAGTCAATTTCTAACATTTAGACTTTCGTAAAGTCTGTTTATGTTGTCCTGGATATAATCAAGGATTTAGATTCTCACTGCAGATCTTCTCTTCCCTTCTCCAGGAAATGATCTGTTCTTGGTTGCAGTTCATGAGCTGGGGCACGCCCTCGGCCTTGAGCACTCAAATGACCCCACTGCCATCATGGCTCCTTTCTACCAGTACATGGACACAGAGAATTTCAAACTACCTCAAGATGACTTGCAGGGAATCCAGAAAATCTATGGTAATGTACCACAATACAATCTCCTTTGAAATAATAAATCATTAAGTAACAGTTTGTATGAGTTAAGAGTTAAGCTGTTCCAACACTTTATTAGAGATGCACCACATCACAAAAAATCAAATTGCAAAGCTCTGAAACTTCGTCAACATTGCAACTGCTGCTGCGTCAGTCATGCTGGGTTGAATGCCAGTAAACAGCATTTGTCAGCTGCTAAAGAGGTCAGCCAATCTGTGTTTTTCAAAGCAACATGAGTCAACTAACAGATTGCAAAAGAGGAAAATAATCAGTGCCAAAAGAAATGGTTGCATTGGTTAAAATATCTCTTAGCGGGGACAGTCTTTGAAATTGCTAAATATCATAAAAGCACAGCAGTGAAGTTCTGATTCACAGGAACAGGTTGTAACACTGCAGTTTGTATTTATAGGACCACCAGATAAAGCTCCACAGCCCACCAGTCCTCCGCCTACAGTTCCACCTCCTCGTTTCCATCCGCCCTCAGACCCCCGGAAGCACGACCGCCATGCCAGACCCCATCGCCCTCCGCAGGGGTCCAAGCCGTCTAACCCCAACTCCAAACCAAACATCTGTGACGGAGGCTTCAACACTCTGGCCATCCTACGCCAGGAGCTGTTTGTCTTCAAGGTAAAGCGAATTATCACCATGAGGAAAGCATTCCTGCTGACGTTTCAGCCACGTCAGGTAACAACAATTTTGCATGGTTTGTTTCTGCAGGACCAATGGTTCTGGAGGGTACGGGACAATTCAGTGGTTCCGGGCTACCCCATGCCAATCAACCACTTCTGGCAAGGCTTGCCTCCCAAAATTGATGCAGTGTATGAAAACAGTGAAGGGAAGTTCGTCTTTTTTAAAGGTAATATAAAGTATATATTTGTGAATTGAATTGCAGGGAATTGAAGCAAGATGATTGACTTTTTTTTGTTGTTGTTGTTGTTTGCAAACAAACATCTAAACACTTTGTTATGGATTTGTAATAAGCCCTTCAATTAAAATGTCAATGTCAACTAATTCATAAAGTCCACAACAGCATAGTTTAATCTCAGCATATATGCAGCTGTTCTGTAAAGGCCTCAGGCTTATTATAAGCTATGCACTTCTCACAGAACAGTGCTCAATCCACAAAATAAAATGTACACTGCTCAAAAAAATAAAGGGACACTCAAATAACACATCCTAGATGTGAATGAATGAAATATTCTCATTGAATACTTTGTTCTGTACAAAGTTGAATGTGCTGACAACAAAATCACACAAAAATCATCAATGTAAATCAAATTTATTAACCAACGGAGGCCTGGATTTGGAGCCACACACAAAATTAAAGTGAAATGTTCCCTTTATTTTTTTTGAGCAGTATATATAGTCTGGAACCTATCTAGATATTACTATCCACCTAAACTAACAGGCTAAGCAAGGAGTATCGAGAATTGATCAGAGAAGCAGCCAAGTTGCCCATGGTAACTCTGGAGGAGCTGTAGAGATGCAAAAGTCAGATGGGAGAATCTTTTGACAGGACATTAATAGTTACAACCTCCATCAGTCCTTGACAACTTTTCTGATGAAGCCCACAAGTCATCTCGTCTGTCACAATATATGTAGCGGTCACAGAGATACAGAGGTCAGAATCGGCCAGCTTTTCAGCTGCTACAGACAACCCAAAAGATTTGTAGCTGTATTTTCAGCAAAAGTTGGTCCTACAAAGTTTGAGAATTCTGGTTTGCAGATATGTACTAAATACTTTGCAGATTTTTTTTTTTTTTTTTTTTTTTTTTAATTGAGCACAATGTATATTTTTTTCTCCCAATTGTTTGTCACATGAAATCTCAGAGAAATACATAAAAAAAAAAAAATAAAATAAAAAAATTAAAGTGTATGGTTGTAATGTGACAGTGGTGTTGGTGCATTAGTAAAATATCAATCTGAAAACATCTTGACTGATACAACTTGAACTGTCAGCTCTTAAACACACAATATCTTCTTTGCTACTTGGAAACCAGAGTGGTTCACCCTGGGCTTTCTAGACGTCTGCATGGTTGGAGAATGGGTGTAGGTCCCAGAGAGACATCCGTCCATCAGACAGATTAACATGACATCTGTCACCCAGTGGGATCAGAGAGCCTCATGCTTTATTTATTCACTCTAAAGGACTTAACCATGTGCGTACTCGTGGGTGTGTGCACGTGAGCGTCTAGCCACCTAGCACTCACACAAGCACACGCAAACACTGCACCACAACAGCTTTCTTCCCTCGGCCCGAGGCACTTATGATCAAATTGAATTAAACGCAACAATAACTTCAATAAGACTCAAAACAACGAGACTCAGCAGAGCTGCCTTCAGAGCACCATCAAGCTTACATTCTGTGCTGCGAAGATAATCTTTAAACGAGCTTATGAAACATCTGGTCTGTGAAATCTCATGAAGGAAAAATAACCCACAAAGAGGGGCATGAACAAGCAGGAATCTTGCAGTTTATTATTATTTTTTTATTATTATTTGGTGTGATTCCAGGTTGTTGCGCTTACTAACCGTGTTTCTGTGTTTCAGGAAACCGTTTCTGGGTGTTCAAGGACCGGCATCTTCAGCCTTCCTACCCTCAGGACATTTCTCTGTTCGGTAGCGGCATGCCCACACAGAGTATCGAGACGGCCGTCTGGTGGGAAGATGTCGCTAAGACCTACTTCTTCAAAGGAGACAGGTTTGTTTGCATCATTAGTTCCAGTGCCAGTTTTTCACTTCACTTCACTTCGTCTTTGTCCCCCACAAGGGAAAATTTGGAGCACAGCGGCAGTCAAAGACAGTCGAGGCATAATCCCCACGTCAACAAGTAATAAAATGTTCCAGAAGTTTTAATTGTGCTCGGGACAAAAAGCATTTGTACTGATTGCGCCTTATGGTTTGTCTGTGTTTGACTTGAGGGAAGGGAAACACTCCTCTAAATGTGGGTGGTCTCTACTGGCTAGGATGGTTTTGGCCTTTTTAACAACTTGTATGTTCCAGTCATCCGATAGGGGCGCTGTTGAAAATCAATTGCAGCTGCTTTAGCCAATATAATATTATATCAAAATAAACTAATTAAAACATGTTAAAAAAAATATTTTATTTCATTTTAGTATTTCAACTTATGAATTACAAAAGGAGACTTATACTGACTTACTTTGAAGACAAGACGAGCAAATAAAGCCCAAGCTGTGTTTTAAAGAATCTCTATGTGAAAAGTTTTATTCCTGATTTCACCTGAGTGCATTTTTTTTTGTAGCCACAGAAGAGATACTCAAGTTTAACTTTAACAACTTGAAGTTTTTTTTTTTTGTTTTTTGTTTTTTTTATGGGGCCAGGTGTTAGCTTAGCTCAAAGGAACTTCAGAATTATTTTTGTTGTCTCTCCAGAATCCCTAAAGCAGAAGATCCGTTGTTTATTTACGTGCGTCAGAGCCGTTGTACAGTATGAGAATATGCCCGTCTGACTCACATGTTCAGCTGCTGAGATAAATCATATCCTGAAAGGTCACAGGACGCTGTGGATGGAGCTGACAAAACACTTTGTCATCTCCTTCCACAGATTCTTCCATTTAATAAAAGAGGGACGTTGTGCGGATAATTTTAAAGTTGATTTTATCACTCAGCGGGGATGTGTGACGGGGGGCTGATGGTGCTCTAATTCAAATGGCTTTTTTTATCTATAGTTTTACGGGTTTGCACAGCAGCAGCGTGTGAGCACTCACAAAAACTTCTGAGGCTAATCTGCATTGCAGATAGACACGCCGTGGATGACTGATTGATTGGAGTCAGCTAATGGTCTTTTTTTCTGAAAAGTACCATCATATCAGTTGGAGTAATTCTGTCTAACTACAGATAAATTTAACTTTTTTTTTTGTTTGTTCTGGGATAAAATAATGACTCCACCCGTTTAAATATTTATATAAGGAACACTTATTACCAGGTTGCTTAAATCCTGTATACTTACACATTTAAAATTTTGCATAGGAAGTAACATCTCATTAATAACTAGAGTAAGAACAAATGTTCATGTTTAGTTTGCAAACTTAGACCTTAAATTAGCTCTCATCTCTTCACTAAGCAAGAGTTTAACACGAGTCCATTAGAAATATAAAAGGAAGCTTTAATAAAACATGCCAAAGCACTCAGATCGAACCGTTAAAAACACATCTGATGAAATTGTAGCATTCAGTTTATTGCCTTTGCAAACTAAAACACAGGGGGATATGGTTGATAAAAGTAAGTTGTGTTGGAAAATCTAATAAGTTAGTAGGCATAGAGCTGGAGAGATGCTCGAATCTATTTTTATTTGTTTAGCTCTTCACATCATCACTAGCTGCTGTCGGCAACCCTAAACCATCCCTGAAAACAGCAACATGAACAACTACAACATATGAAAATGCAAGCAAAAGGCTATGACTCTGCAGATAAATGCCTTACATATTTTTATCTGGCTACAAAAAAACAATTCAGCAAATTTACCTTGTTCTATTTGGGGGATATTCTGTTTCGTGTGCATCTTAGGAGCAGAGAAAGTGCAGTACCTATACACTTCATGCTTTTGTTCTAATTATATATGTTTTAAATAGTAGCGGAGAAAACTGTTCTGTCTTTGTGAGAACAGAGTCTTTGTCCATATTGGATCAATTATGAAGTAGCAGACTGTTGGTATTTATCACTTCCTTTCTTTTTGTTTTTTAGATACTGGAGGTATAACGAGGACATGAGGACGATGGACCCAGGTTACCCAAAACCCATCACCATCTGGAAGGGCATCCCTGACTCTCCACAGGGCGCTTTTGTGGACAAGGCAAATGGTATGTGGGCTGCAAAAATTATAGGAATCTCTAAAGATCCCCATAAAATAAATATTGGAGTGGGATCAATATTAATCTTTCCATCACAGAGGGTGAAGAGGTTTTTAAGGGATGTTAAATAACTTCCAGAGCTCACTGGAAGTTGGAGAACTGCATCAAGCAAGGTTATCTTGAAAAGCTTCCGTAAAAAACATTAGACCCAATCCACATCCAAACTGGTTGTTAGGGGGAGAAAACGGGGGAAAAAATGTATTTTCTATCTTCATGTCACATATATAAATAAGATTGTGATGTTTGCTAATCTCGAATACCTTTTTGAAAATGCCAGGAAATTTTGTTTTAAAATCTGGTGGTTTTACATCACTGACTCCTAAAAAGGCAGAAAGTCTACACAGCAATGGTTGACCGGATATGAAAGCCACCTTCTTCCATGGCCATCACAGTTCCCAGACATTTATCCTGCAGAGTTTTCTTATCTGCAGGCTCTGACCTGATGTGAGAGTTTTGTTCTTATGAGACAAAATACTGTCCTATATGCAAAAGAGGGTTGTATTGACAAAGTATAATCAGTAGTAGTACAGGGTCAATGGTGACTTTGTTGATGTTATTGTTTTCTTGTGTAGGATTTTTTTTCACACATGAATAAGAAAACTCAAATTAAAGCTTAAACCTTTTTAAAATGATCATCAATAGATTATAACAGTCATTTCATACTTGCACATTTGATGTGTAAATAAATGTGGACATGAAGTAGTCCCTGGATTTTAATAACATTTTATCTTTACCTTTCTTCTCTCTGGAAGCAATAATAGTTGGAGCTCCAAACTAAAGATAGACAATCAAAAATACCAGAGGAAATATTGAAAAAGTTGGACAGCTATATTAAGTATTAAGTAAGGATATAAATAGTTCTTAACACGCCATTTCTGATTAAATTTAATTCGTTATCTTTGTGTGAATTGATACTCCTTTTACATGTTTTGATCTTTTAAGAGATTTAGTTAATTGGAGCTTAAATATATGTTAGCATATTGATATTAGCTAATACATATTTATTAGCATTGTACTGAAAAATGTTTTCAATCTCACTGTATTGTCGTCTACTCTAAAAACAACTTTGCCATATAATAATATAGCCTTCATTGTATTCACTTTAAATTCAATCTGTGATGAAAGAACTAAACTTTAGACCTTGTATTTAATTTAGTTGTTTTTTGAAAAGTTTAATTTGTTTCTGCCTTTTTCAACTTATTTGATGACATTTGGATTGTTAATTTTATGTGATAATTTTATGCTTGTAAATTTGCGGTTCACTTTTCGATGATGGATTTTTATAGTAATAGTTTAATAGATATGTTTTCCATCTTCAGAAGGATTTTATGCCTAAAATCTCAGCATGAAAGTATATTATCAGATAAAAGTCAATCAGTAAGCCAGATAAAGTTTTGTAGTTCAACATAATGACATCCCACTTGCAGTGCATCACTTGACAGCAAAATAACTGAACCGGGCACCATTAAGTCTACCATAACAAGACTAATATTTAATAATCTTAACAAACTCAATTTTTCCCCCTTTATTTTCATATCTCCATTGCAGGTTTTACCTACTTCTACAAGGGAAAAGAGTACTGGAAGTTCAACAACCAGCTGCTTCGCGTGGAGCCCGGCTACCCCAGGTCTATTCTGAGGGACTTCATGGGCTGCGACGGCCTCCCCGCTGACCCCGACTGGGGCTGGAATCCCCCGGCGGCAGACGAAAGGCACTGTGACAACAATGACGTGGACGTTGTCATCAAACTGGACAGTGTTGGGGGTACGGAGAAGGCTGTGGCCATTGCCATTCCTTGCGTCCTGGCGCTGTGCATGATGGTCCTCCTCTACACCGTTTTCCAGTTCAGGAGGAAGAGCACTCAGCGGCACATACTGTACTGCAAGCGCTCCATGCAGGAGTGGGTCTAAGGGGACTGTTACAGTATAGAGAGCTCTGAGAAAGTCGTTACTTAAAGCCCTATAACTTGAAGGACTGTAAAGAAGTACAGTAGACGAGGTTTGCTGTTTGGGCAGATCTCAGGACAGCTGGAACATGTGAACTGTGCGCTACAAGGAAAGGAAACTATCAGCTGACCTCAGTAGATGACAGTGGCAGAGCTTCATCTTCTTTGTCCTACTAATGTGTATGTATCTGCTTTGATTTTTCTTTGGATCTCGAAATGAACTCAGTTAAGTGAGACAGAAATAATCTACCGTAAGCGGGATCTTTGTCTATCCCCGTCTCTGCACGCCGCTGAAAAAGCCCCCTAGCACTGACTTCAGAGGACAAATTAGATCTAGGCTTCTACTTTACTTAATTCGATCACCCTGGGTTGTGCTTTTTTTAGTCTAGGACCCCTGTAAAACATAATTCACCGTGAGGAGATACGAATATCATACATAAACCAAATATGACGTTTTTCTTCCAAAGAGGATTACAGCTTGATGTTGTTTTCGATCGGATATTCTTCCTCCATGGATCTAACGTTTTGGATCACACTCTGATTTTCTTTCACCGCTACTGTTCACACCTACTCATCTTCTCTGTAAGGACAGAAAAGAAGGAGCAAAAGAAACTCATGACTGTTGTGGCAGTCTGTCTCCACAACAGGGGCCAAAATAATAAAAAAAAAACACTCTGCAATACTAATGAGACTGCCTTAATCACAGATTGCTTCAATCCTTTCTCCTTCTGTTCCACTGGTGTGGAGAATGGATACTGAGTGACACAGCGGGAAGACAGAAAATGCGTGTGAAGTCATTACTACTGCCCAAAATGCAACGCTAAACCAGTAGTTGAGGACATTTCGGTCCAAAGAGGAGATCTCGAAAATGTCAGCTGCCAAAGATCAGCTTTCATTTGCGGCCTCACAAGAGAGAAAGAGAGAGAGAGAAGATTTTGTTGTGAATTTGTCTGTGTGTACGTGTGAAAGAATGAATAATCACCCTTGTTATGTAAGTACTGAGCTCTGCTATAATTTATAATTATCTATGTTGATTCACGTACTTCAAACCAGTTTAGCAACCTTTTAAGTGTTTGTGTCAGAAGAAGGCATGGGCCGATTCCAAAGTGTACCGAGGTTTTAAACTCCTAAAGCTTTCCATCAAACCAGTTCTACTTTTAAAAGTCCTTTTAATGAGACACCTGAGAATATGCCCGAGTGACCAGACTCACTTTTGAACTTAGGCTACTACACTGTTTTCTCACTTAAAAAATATATTAATTTGGCTACTCTGGAATATTTCTAGTTGCAAAACAAAACAAAGATTTGCGCCCATGGGGTGGAAACTAAAATTGTGCCAGTCTTCACTCTTACCGGTTTGATGCTATTCTGAAAATCCGAATGGCAAACTTGGAGCATTGGCCTTGATGGCAACACAAATTAATGACATCATGGGAGGTCTGCAGAACAAATAAGCACTGCACATGTTCTCTGCTGTGCTCTTGCCCTTGCACCTGCTCACCGTCTCACTTAGCGCAGTCAAAAGTAGATTAGAAATCTCTGTGCATCTGCGGAAGTCAGTTTCCGTCGTTTCTCCGGAAAGTCAGTGCGTAAATTTGGTTTGTTCGTATCGTTACACTTCCAGTGTTATTCTATAAAGGGCAGAATGGAAAAAAAGGTATAATCTTTTGCACGAAAGTATGTCTAAGAAAACCTTTGATTAAATTTAGGAGATGTTTATTTTATTTTATTTTTTTAAATTCAATGTATTAAAATAAAAACAATGTGATAAAAGCAGCTCCGGAAAACATTTAAGAGACCAGTGTAAAGTTTTAAATGAGCATCTTTATGAAAGGCAGCCATTTCATCTCATTTGACATTTTTTTATGCAAACACATATATTCAAAATAGTTGATTTTATTTTGTCATTGAACAATTTTAATCATAAAATTAAGCAATGTAAATTTTGGAAAGATCTCGTTTTTCTCTAGAGTTGTTTATAGATGTAAAGATATAGACATAAATACACAAGACAATGCCATAAATGTAATAGAGCTTTATATTATTGTCACAAGAAACAAGTTTGCTTTTTGTTCAAAATAAAATAAATTGGATCAGATTTTCCATATTTGTCTTAAGTATATGTGTCACTATGGTGAAAACGTGGTGTTTTACAGAGTGCAGGACAGGCAGAGTCTCATCCCGGCCCATGCCCAACAGAGGGAATAGCGAGGAAAACGGAACAAGAGAAGGGAAAAAAAATCTGCTTCTTTTACTACCAGAAGCACTTAAACTTTGTTAGCTATCTATCTTCTTATAAAACTTTGAAACATTTGTTTTTTTTAATTTATTTTGTTTTAGCTGAATTCAACTGTTTTTGAGGAGAAAGCCTTTTTAAGCTTTACCAGGACATAATTTGTTGTTTTAATCTTACAGTTTGCTGAATTTTTGTGTTAGGGGAAAAATGTTAAACCAATATTGCCTGTGTCTTCTGTTTTCTACACTAGTAACCTCAATTAGACGCTATACAAACGAATACATATGGTCGGTTTGATTAACAAATTAACACATTACTAATGAATGTTTAGAACTATTTAAATATTGTTGGATTCCAATTGCGTATTGGAAAGTCAAAACGAGTGAAGTTAAATCTGACGAACGCAATTCTAAATATATACTATGAAACCATGACATTTCATATATTCTGTACACACGTATATACAACTCAACTGTATATGTAAATCTTATATTGTTTCAGCTAACTTAATCAGCCAATGTAATGAAAGAGAAACTCTCTGTTGTAGAATGGAGTTAAAATGATCAGGAATGAGAGTTTTTAAACCTTTTTTTTTTTTACGTATTATATGTACAGATGCAAATGATAACACTAATGATTGCTAGTTTAATGTCTTATTTTGGAATTGTCTTTGGAATGCCACAAATGCAAAAGTATTGTGGAGGTTGCAAAGAGCCTCTTGGCAAAGCAAAAATAGAAGTGCTAGAAATTTGCTCCCTCGGTTTAAAAAAACTGGATTCGCAAACATTTGTGTTCGTTCGTGTGTTTGAAGCAGGAATGGACTAAAAAAAATGTGTTATGATGTCTTGTGCAGTATAAAGAGAACACTGCAGTGATGTAGTGGTGTACAGTGTCCTGATGCAGCAGAACACTTGACTCCAAGACACCTGCACCATTCAAAGTGGATGTAACAGGAATTAACGTTCCACAAAATCTCTTTTACAACATGCACAGCAATTACTACAGTAAGGATATTGATTGCAAACCCCTGGAGAGAATTTCTTAAACCGAGGGCACCATTTGTTTGCTTTATTGTTTTTGCTTGAAGCCCTGAGGTTCTCCATTTATTACAGTTATGTTGTGTTTTTGGTAGATGATTTGTGATTTCTTGAATATTTGTGTTCATTGATTTTTGTTCTATTAAATCAGTGAAAGATGTTATCTTTCACCGATGTTAAGGCGACGACGCATCGAAGCAGATCAGAAGCTGAAGACGTTCTCCTATATCAGTTATCTAGAGGAGCTCTGGGTGAACTGTGGCTGATGACTCTGACATTTACTGTAGCTTTATCATTTGTAATAGATAAAAATTTACATACAGGAAAAGCTAATGCATGCAGATTTGAATTGAGACAACATTTGTCAACCTTGAACTGCTTTTCTACCCGTCTTTAGCTGAGGGGTTAAATGACAGGACTGTATTAGTAGGTTTCTGCTGGGTGTAAAAGTTCTCTTTGTTATTCCAGCTTTCATCATTAAATCTATAAACAATACGTGAAACCAGTAGAAACTGTTTTTAGATCTACAGTTTAGATCTACCCACATTGACCAGTGTAACTTGGAGAAGGGGCAAAGCCTTTACTAGGTGTTGTGCTTGATGTCGTGTGGCTTTGTTTACTAATGGCGAGGGCTCATGAGAGTGTGAGTTACACATGACCAAGAAGGAGACTTTGTACTGTATTTCTTTGCAATTATCCTTCCTCAAGTCTTGCATTGCATTAAGGGCAAGAAGTCAATAGTTGTCAATAGAATTCAGTTTGAAACATTTTATTTCAGTTCGACAGACTCTAGGTGATTGTCCATGAAGTTATACCATAGTCTACAATTCGTTTTATTTCCTTGTAGCTCTTACTCACTTAGAGGTTAGACACAGTTTTATTGCTTTATTTTGAAGTCTGACTAATTCCTGTCTTGATGTATCAATCGTGGCTGACTCTTTAGTGCTCTTTCTTTTTTTTTTCCAAGTCTGTCTTGACACTTGCTGCTAAGCATTAGGGCTAATTTGGAGTGACATTAAAGGAAGCAGAGGGGACTGATCGGACAGCAGTCAGTACACCAGAGGGGGTAAAGAAGAAAAGACAAGGAGCAATCTCTGCACTCTAGATGCTTTATGCAGATATGTGAAGTTTATTCTCACAGACAAACTGTATAAGATGTTGACATTATTGCATTATATGTATATAGTGTACAAGCCAGGCTATTTGCTGTCTGTTTTGGACATTTTCTTTTTTTTTTTTTTGATCAACTCCATGGATAAAGAAGATGATTTGTGTTGTAAATAAAAGAGGTGCATAATAAATCTGACTGGATGTGAGGCTCTCACACAAACACTCAGGTTCAACACTTTTTTTTTTTTAAATCCGGGCTGAACAGCAAGTTGGTCCAAACCCTCTCCACAGAGTGGAGTAAATTAAAATGTTCAAAACAAAGCATTACATTTATGAAGCAGAGAAACAACTCTGAGTTTTATGCACACATAGTGAATTGAAAAGAAAACATGCTATAAGGTTAAAAAAATGTGTCATTTTACTACTACTACCTAGGTCCACCCAAATTTAAAGACAACTTTAAAATTTAGGTTCAACTGGATATTTCATTCTCAAACTGGATCTAAACAGTGTGTGTTTACTTTAGATTTGATCAAATATCAAATATTTGGATCTTATATTTTCACTTCTCTTTGTGTTTAGATTTTTTCCCTATATTAATCTTATAAACTAGTCTTATTCAACTTTTATTGGTTACTTTTGCTGTTTTTATTGTCTGTATCATTCAATCTGTTTGAAAACACTCTACGAATGAAGCTCGACTGATCGAATGTTGAACTATCCTTTAATACATAGTTTATTTGCACAAACTGAGATGAAGAAAAAGGAAAAACAAAATAACAGCCATCCCCATAAAATTAAATCTCCACAATAATTGTTCAACAAGAAGAGAGAGAGACAGCACAGAAAGAATAATCGTGAACTGATTGTGAACCTTGATGCAATAGAGGCACAAAACTTTATAAGCAACTAAAAACAATCAGGCTTTAGGGAAATCATTCACACATAAAAGATTTGATCTTTGTCACAGTCTGCTGATGACATCGAGGGACACTTCTCTTTATTGCAGATTTCTTTGTAGCCTTCTGCCTGGGTCAGCCCGCTTGCTTTTTTAGGTAAAAACAGCAACAACAAAAATAAATGAAATCAGTTTTGTTTTTATATTGCAGGAAATATTTACTAAGTAAAAATGAGTAAATAATTTACCATCAATTAGATCATAGAGGAGGCAATAGTCATTGGGATCGGTTTCATTCTTTGATTTTGTGGTAGAAATAGCCTGTGGACGGACACCGTATATATGTTTTAAAACAAACATGCTGCAATTTTTTTTATTTTATTTTAATTTGCAATGCAGTATCGCAAACTAACTTTAATTTTGCAGAAGGACTTTGCCGCAAGTGGGCCAAAGATGATGTGAATTTCTGTAATTTTGCCTGACTTAGGGGAAGTGTGCACTACTTCAAGCTCTTCTGGGGACTCGCTCATTATCTAAGGATCAAAACCAAGAACAAATATACCACAGTTTAATATCAACAAATAAATGGGCTTTAATATATATATATATATATATATATATATATATATATATATATATATATATATATATATATATATATATACTGCAAAAATTGCATTGCTCAGGTTTTGCTCAGTATTTCATCACCTTATACATGCACTTCTCCGGACCGTCTCGACACTTCTTTGTGCTCCAAGCCTTCAGCTGGTTCACCAGATCACTCACAGGTTCAGAGCAGGGCAGCCTAAAAGTCCTGCAAGAAAGATTCCTCTCATTTCTTAGAACAGACAGACAGACAGACAATGAAAGTAACAAGCAATACAAAAGAAAGATACATCTGAACAATTGTGAATATTTTCATTTCCTACCATATTGCTATGCATTTTGATGGATCTACAGCTGATGAGGCGGGTAAAACAAACTGTAGGAATAAAGCAAAGACCAACAAAGATCTGAGACTCATGGTGGCAGCAGCTAGAGAGCTGTGTTGTGAAAAGAAATTCCCCGTGTGAGGAGTCATTTATATCTTCTGTGATGACATAATGTGACGTTAGTGAGACAGACACAAAGCAGAACAAGCCAAGCAATAAAGCAAATGTCCTTGTGATGGATGGTGACTTTTTGCTGACTTTGTTTTTCATCTTCTGGAAAACTGATAATTTACACAGATGCTCAATTTTCAATACATTTTAAATCACTCCTAAGAAATGTACATGTATACAACCAGGAAGAGCACATAAAATCTGACCTGTTTTGCACATTAAAATATATCTTGATAGTTTCCTTGTATAGGTAGAAGTTTGTCAAAAAAACAAAATCATTTGTTTGACTGAAGGAAATCTAAAAGTCATCTAAAAATGAAATAAAAGAAACATATATTTGCACTATAGCTCAGAAATAAATGTGGCTCCTTAATAGTTTTAAATTATCTTACAACTGAACTGTGTGTCAATTTATTTATTATTTTATTTCTACAAAAAGGTCAAAGAAATATAATGTAATTAAATGCATTAAACAACATGTTAAGTAACAATACAATTATAACATAATTTTATTGTCTGTTTAACAGTTTAGACCAAATATTAACACCTCTATATAAAGGGATGCTAATTTAAAATTTATTTTATGCTAATATTTTTCTCACTTTGACATTAGTCCAAGCTTTCACGTTTGGGTCAGTTGGGATAGCGCAGATTATTTTAAGACAGAAGTCACAATGGCTGCCCTTCTCCCGGAACTTTCGTTTCACTAAAATATCTTAATTAGCCTTGAAAGATGACAAACATGCTGCCTGGGTCATGCTCACCATCATCCAAATTGCATTTCCATGCCTCCACATGACAATCCAAGCGCCTTTCAGGTACTGCCTTTGAGTGCAATGTTCCATATAAACCCCAAAGGAAGAAATAATTAGTCAGTCGTGCCTTTGGAAACCAGAAGAAAGTCCCTCATCATGGCTGTGAAGACTGTTTTTGCGGCATTCCTTCTCCTTTTAGGAATGTGCATCATCATCACAAGTGGAAGACCAGCTCCATCTTCAAACGCCTTCTGCAGGATTATCTGGTAAGGGAGTGTTTGTCTGTGTGTGTATTGTTTAGCGAAGTGTTGTGCATGGAGCCAGTCTTCTAACTGTGATCTGATCCAGGTTATTTGGAGTTCCGTGTGATCAGGTCAACATGGCCATTGTGACTGGCATAAAAGACGACAAAAAGTCATACAAGGTATAAAAAAAACATACAGTACTGTTTTCAGAGTTGCACAGATTCATAGAGGCTAAAAACATTTCTGTCTTCTACCTCAGCTTGGCCCGGTAACACCAGATCAGATTCTAGCCAATCACACTGCCAAAGATGGTGAAATTGCAAACCTTAATTTCACAATGGACTCTACAACCTTGAGTATGGGTTGCCATGTACAGGTGAGGCAAATGTCTCTTGAGTTCAAGTCATTTTTAATTTGGTTATATACTTTTTTAATGTTAAAGCAATAGCAAAAAAAAAATGTCTAAGCTAAGTGTTTTTTCCTTCATGTAAACTATTCTGGATTCTTATCTGTCCAGGGTTCCTCAGTGTCTCCATTTTGGTTCAGCCCTTTTGATAATGGAACAAATTACTGCAACCTCTACAAAGTTATAAAAGGTCGGTTTGTGCACTTGGCTAAATAATAATCAGCAAGACAAATTTTCAGTTAATCATTCCAGTCATGACATTTTTCAGCATTTGCCCACTTGTCATTTTTTTTTTACTTGTTTTGTCTTTTCTTGTTCAGGAAGTGGACTCAACAAAACCCCAGGCTTTGTTGAATTCACCAATGAGTGGCTCTGTCTTGGCTTCGGCGCTTCTGTCTGCAAATGAGAAGGAAAACAAAAAAATGTGTGATTAAAAACAACTGAGCAAAAAGAAGAAAACATGTTTATTCTTTAGCAAAAGCTTTGTTTTGCTGGAGGATTGTCTTGTCCTGCGCATGACTAAATGCACATTTGTTGGAGCGACCATGAAAAAGCTCTCATTGTTAAAACTCAGATCTCTCCATATGAACTAAGATTACTGATTAAAAAGTGTGAATAAATATTTGCTTGATGAAAATACTGTTGTCTTTGTCTGGAAAGATCTATAACATTATTTTCTCGTATTCTTTTTATTTTCCAAAGGATGACAACAAAATGCTGCACTCCAGTCATGCTCACCACAAGACTGTTGTGTTCTCAAACAATTATGCATGTGGATTTGAGATTGTTTTCCGTTACTAAAGAAAATTGTTACACTTGCAGCACCAACAGCCTGCTGACTGTCCTACAGCCTGGAGGATAATTGCATGGTTATTATTGTATGCGTTACAATGGCTTAGACCATATAAATATATTTCAGGAGTTGGGCAGGAAAGTCAATAGATGAATTGTTCCAAAGAATTCAGAAAAATTATTCTTAGCTCGAGAACAAGTTCTTTCTTGACATGATAAATCCAGCAGAAATTTGTTTTTTTGTTTGTTTGTTTTTTCAATGTTGTTGTTTTTTAAATTGTTTAAAGCCCAGGCAAACAATCAGAGATGTTCTAAAACATGACCAAGACAGACATATTATTCTGCATTTGTTGTTGATCATGTAAAAATGTAAATTGAAGCAATAACGTTCAATGTGATGGCGAACTTGTGGTTGTCTCATGATTCAGGACGTGACTATCTTGTCTGCATTAACAGCTTGAAGCAACAACACGGCGTGAGAATGATGCTATTAGTTTAACACAGTGGTGTCTTTGTGGATTTCTACAGCCTGAAGATAAAATCTGAAGGGAAATGACACCAAATGAGAGAGGTGGTTTCAGAGATTAAACTGAAACTATAAAACAAACAGCATAGATTCGGCAGCACAGATTTATTAAGTTACATGTTTAAAACAGAACTAATAGGTATAGGTCTGAATAAAGTGAACATTGCTATTTTATTCTATGAACTACTGACAGCAAGTCTCTGAAATTATAAACAAAAATGTTGATTTTATTTGCAGAAAATGAGAAATTGTCAAATGGGATTCAGTGCAGTGGTCCCCCCCTTCCCCCCACCAGAGCTGTATATGACTGTAAAATACATGTTCTAGTGGCATAAAAATAGTTAAAAAGTTCAGAAAATGAAGGCATAAAAACATGCTGATCAAACTCCAGCTTTTTTGGTCTATTTATGATAAAGAATCATCATGTCCAGTCCAGTGGAAGCACACAGTGTCCTTTTAATGGGGT